AGCCTCCGGTCGCCGGCTCCTTCCCCCCCACCACCCACAAGAAGCCCGGTGACAGGAGGCAGCAGCCTCCGGTCACCGGCTCCTTCTCCCCCCCCCCATTCCAATTTAGTGGAATGGGGTGGGTAGACCTGTTCTCCAGATGCCAGGTCGTCCAATACACTGGAATGGGGTGGGTAGGAGAACAGGTCTTCCTACCTCATTCCACTACATTGGTAGACCTGGCCTCTAGATAACAGGTTTACCCACGCCATTCCAGTGTATTGGTAGACCTGGCCTCTTCACAGCTACAATGGTGCCCTCCCCCCCCACTTCACAGGCTTATGGGGGGGACAGGTGAGGGGGGATGGCGCTGACCCGTCCACCCTGTCCACATTCTCGCCACTACCCCCCCTCACTCCCTCTACATTTCTCCTTATGTCCCTTCATTCTATCCCTCCCTCACTCTTTCTCCCTTCCTCCCCATCGCTTTGACTTCCTTCCCCCCCCCCAAATCCTCACTCCCTCCATCTCTGCCTGTCTGTCTTTCTGACTGTCTGTCTCTGTTTCCCCCCCTCCAACCATCCTCTCTCTCTCTTTCCCAACCCCTCTGTCTGTCTGTCTGTCTGTCTGTCTGGGGCCCACCCACCCTACCTTTCTAGGGCTCGTTGTCTTCCTCCACAACGGTCTTTGCAGCTAGTTAACAATAAAACTGATGATATAAAAACAATTAAACCATCAAAGCAAGATGGCACAAAAACACTAACAGTCCAATGTCTCCTGTAGGATTTTAAACAGACGGTAATAGGTATCCCGATTCATAGCAGTTTTTAAGCAGATGGTGGGAGGGATCCAGGGTTCCTGGGACTATGCTCACATTGGAAGCTGCCTCAGACACCTTCGGGGGTTAAGAGTAAATAAATAAACAAATCCATAGCACAGTCCCAGTGTTCAAAGTACTGCACAATGCGTGTGTGTGCATGCACGTGTGTGTTAAGTGCTGTCATGTCGCTTCCAACTTATGGTGACCCTATGAATGAATGATCTCCAAACATGCTATTGTTACCAGATTTGCTCAGGTCTTGCAAACTGAGGGATGTGGCTTCCATTATTGAGTCCATTCATCTCATGTTGGGTCTTCCTCTTTTACTTCTGCCTTCAGCTTTTCCTAGCAATACAGATTCTCAAGAACAGACTTGTATGGCGTGCCAGTATTATTGTCCCCATGTTGTAAATAGGAAGCTGATATGGAGGAATATGGACAGAATAGCAACCTGCCAAAGGCCACCTACTGAATTCTTAGGTAAGGTAAGAACACTGAGCCAGGAACTCCCTGGATCACACCCTTAGCCATAACACTGCAGTAGCTGTGTGATAGCTATCGCACAGCCCTACAGTATCACCAAACACTCCTCTCTCTACCAACTCTCCCCTTTCACAGTAAACGGTCTCAGTCCAGACTGATGAACTCTTACCCAGAAGTCCATGAGAGAATGGGAGGCACGTACCTTCCACAGACGTGTTGCAGATCATTGTCACAGATGGACCCCTCATGCTATTCCTGCCAACTGCATTAATGAAAATTTGATATGATGAGCCTGAGGTCAGCTCTGTCAGAGTTGCTTCAGCCCTGGAAACAGCCAGATGAAGTACGGGCTGATGGAGGACTCTTCTTGGAAACGTCTCCACTGCCAGCTCATAAGCCTTAATATCACTGTCAGGGATGGTCCAGTTCAGAAAAATACTGGTGACATCAGGGAAACATTGCAGGTTCTTCACCTCAGAGAGCTCTGGAAGGGCAAGACAAACTGAACTGAGTAGGCCTGAACGAGATGGAGCTTAGCAGTCTCTACCGCAACCGTAAACCTCTACTAGCCATATATAGAACAGATAAGATTGTGTTCATTTCCTGGCTACTCCAATACTGCTTTGTTCCTGACACATACTTTGGCAGAGACTCAGCCCCAAAAAGAAACAATTTCCAGAAATCCCAGATGTCTATTAGCACATGCATCCTGAAATTAGATTTTGGCACATAAGAATTTTGAAATCTCTTCAGCTCCATACAGGTCTGCTCCTAAAACTCTTACCCTGGCAACCGGGGAACATTTTTTGAGACCCAAGACCTGGGAGATGGCACTATAAAGAATTTAAAGGTATCTGTGCAATTTAGTGGGAGGTATCCTTATTCTGTAGCAGTAAGTAGCATGGTAAAAGCAATTATGGGCCTTTGTGTATCTTTGGAACTTATTGCTCAGCACTTGACCCAACTTCTTTTTCTCTTTGATACAGAGAACCATTCTAGCCTAATTCAGTAACTAACTAGTGCTTAAAATAAAAGGCCTGGATCATCTGGAAAGCAAAAACATGAAAAGGCTGCAATCCAAGGTTCAAAAATGCATGGAAGCATCTTGGAAAGGTGGAAAACTGCCAACAGTTTTGTGTTTCTGGGTTTTTATGTGAGTTTATCATTCTTGGATTTACTTGCTGGCTTTTAATGGTTGTTCATTTTAATGAGTTTATGCTTTATGATTTTATCTTCTATGTTTTCAGTTGCCTCAAGTAGATCTTTGAAGAAGTAGCATGTATAAGAACATAAGAGAAGCCAATGTTGGATCAGACCAATGGCCCATCTAGTCCAACACTCTGTCACACAGTGGCCAAAAATACCAGGTGCCATCAGGAGGTCCAGCAGTGGGGCCAGGATACTAGAAGCCCTTCCACTGTTGCCCCCCCCCCAAGCACCAAGAATACAGTGCATCACTTGCCCCAGCCTGAGAGTTCCTATCTATACCTTGTGGCTAATAGCCACTGATGGACCTCTGCTCCATATGCTTATCTAATTCCCTCTTGAAGCTGTCCACGCTTGTAGCCGCAGCCACCTCCTGTGGCAGTGAATTCCATGTGTTAATCACTCTTTGGGTGAAGAAGTAATTCCTTTTATCTGTTCTAACCTGACTGCTCAGCAATTTCATTGAGTGCCCAGTACGTGCCCTGGAGAGCCTTGCTCTCTGCAGATCAACATATCCTGATAGTCCCTGGTCCTTTTCTGCCCTGGCCCTGGCCTGGCAGAACACGCTCCCATATGAGATCAGGGCCCTGCGGGTCTTGTTACAGTTCCACAGGGCCTGTAACATGGAGCTGTCCTGCCAGGCCTTTGGCTGAGGTGGCGGGTGTTCAACCATCACAGCCTTCCTTGCCCACAGTAATTTATTATTGACTAACATCCTACACGAGGCACCATGGACTGCCCTGGAGTAGTTGCTTTTGTCTTAGTTGCCATCTTGTTCTGATTGTTTTAAATTTGGTTTTAATTATATGCTTATTCCTATTTTATTGTATATTTATACGGTGTGAACCACCCTGAGCCCACTTGTGGGATAGGGCAGGATATAAGCTTAATAAAACAAACAAGCAAGCAAGCAAACAAACCAGGTCCTCCCTTCACTGAGTTTCCATACCCTCTTCCCCAGGACGAGCACATACCTATTGGTATTACCACTGTCTCAGAGCTGCCCTTATATGGCCCAGAAATGCAGCTGAGTGATACGGAGTAATTTCTTCCTGGAACCAAGTCCTGGAAAACATGCTGGACCTGCCATGGGGCCAAGGTGTGATTCTGGAGCATGGTCCTGTTGCCAGGATGCCACAGCTGCACCTGGCAGCGCTCAGGCTTGCTAAGAGGCTTCCCCCAGAACACAGAGAGTGCAGAGCGGCCCCTTTCAACCACTGCAGAGAGCTTCCTGGGAACCACAGGGTCTAGGGTATAAAAACAAAGAAGGAAAGAATGATCCAGTTGTTAAAACTATGGAGCCATTGTGGATTGAAGTGTGTGTGCGGGAGTGAATCAAAAACTGCTATGCATCATCTAACGGTCCCTCTGAGTTTTGTTGTTGTCCTGAGTGGCAGAAACTTTCCAGGGCCCCAGGCAGGTATCTGACGAAGGGAGCTTTGAGTCTCAAAAGCTCATACCCCGAAAATCTTATTGGTCTCTAAGGTGCTCCTGGGCTCAAATCTAGCTCTTCTACTACAGACCAACATGGCAGCCCCCTGAAACTATCAGGCAGGACTGTTTCCCAACCCCACAGCTTTTAAATGGAGATGGCAAAGACTGGACCTGGGATATTATGAATGCACCAAGTTGTATCATCCCCTCAGTGCACCTATACTGAAGGCAACATAATGACTCATGTGAGAAAAATCACTAGGCTTAGCAGCTCAAAACTCAAAAGGGTACATACAGTAACAGTAGTATAGATTGGTGTTATACCGTAGAGATCTTCCAGACTGTTCTTAAAACTATATATATTGTTACATATAATTAACTATTTCATTAAAACGTTGTGGGATTTGGGATCTTTATGTTGAATTAGGTAGAAATGATGCCTCTAGAAATGGGAGCCATTTATTCATTCTGGCCCAATCTGCATCTAGCATTTGCTCTGCTGTTTTACCAAACCCACACTGGAACAGAAATTCCCCTCTACATTGCATGCCACTTTCACTTTGATTGATTGTCGGACTTTTTGGCAGTGTCCAAACTGCATGCCGCTTTCACTTCATTTGCTCTCTTGGTTTTATGGTAGCCGTCTGCATAGATTTATGGCTGTTTTATGGCCATTTAGGGGTGACTCTGCAGTCAGTACAGCTTGGCCTGGGGTATTTGAATGTGGTTTTTGAGCCACATCTTTTTCTGTTCTAGTGTCGGTTTGGTAAAACAGCGGAGCAAATGCTAGATGCAGATTGGGCCTCTGTTAACATGGCTTCCTGTGTTTCTAAACATGTGATGGACAGAACTGCAGATAGGACAGGCATGTTTCTTTAATGACAGGTGGTGGGGCTCAGTGGCAATGTACCCATATTGGACCCACTGAAAACCTGTACCATTTTGAGTCAGTTTGGCAAAGATGATGCCATTCCTCACACCGACACTTGTACTTTGGCTTAAGAGCTGTCCAGTGGAGTTCAGATTAAATGTCCTCCCAGGGTGATGTTGGTCTCAGCTTGATGTCCATGCCCATTGAAAGAATATACAGGTTCTTACACACACAGTTATGCAAATCTCTGTATAGACAAACCCAGAAGACCACGAAGGGACTCATACTCACATGTCCAGTCACTGACATTTCTTGCTGACATCCGGTATGGCCCTGCCAACGAAGAAACCTCAAGCAAATATTTAGTTCCAGGGAGCAGACTTAAGAAGGTGAAGTTTGTGGCCCTCTTCTGTACAGATGTCTTGGCTGCCACAGTGCCTGATCCAGCATAATACAGTGTCAGTGCATAGCCCTCTTGTTCTCCTGCAGGGGGTTCCCAGGCAGCACTCAGCTGGTCAGAGTGCCCTTTGTTTGACAAAGTCACTGTGTGAGGAGGCAGAGGGCCTAAGACGACAATAACACCAGAAGAGAAAACGGAAGTCATAGGCATCTCTAACTTTACATAGTTTATATAATTTACCTGATACCAGGGGTCATTTCCTGCAGGAGCGCACAGGAGCGGAGCTCCGGCAGTAAAGAGCCCAGGGGGTGGGCACATGCAACAAGCCCCACCCCCTGCTCCCAGCAGCCCTCAGTCAGAGCAAGAAGCAGCCAGGTAAGTTGCAGAGCCCGCCCCCCGGTCCAAAACAGTCCAGTGGCACCTTTAAGACCACGTTTTATTCAGGTACAAGCTCTCCCTCCTCTGTGAGGACAGATCTGCACGTCCCCCCCCCCCCGAAAGCTAGCCAAAACAGTCCAGTGGAGCCTGAGCGGTGAGTGTTGTCTTCTGACACACTTCCGGTGATGTCAGGGGGCGTGGCGTATGCAAATAAGTTATTCTAATGAGTTATGCTAATGAGCTCCTGCACCTCTTTTTCTACGAAATGACCCCTGCCTGATACAATTCAGAGTGAACAACAAAACCAGAATTCCATATTTATTCCATCAATAAGCATATCTGCATATAATTGTATCTTGTGCATAATACATTCTGCTAGTCATGTGGAAGGACTATGAAGATCAAATCCTCACACACAAACTGTGCTGGCTATCAAACAGGAAATGGATAATTCACTTCTTAGATCCCAGTTGCAGGGATTTTGGGGGCATAATGTTCAATTTTTTAATTTAAAACATTTTAATGCCACCTTTCTGCCCAATCAGGGCCCCCAAGGTGGTTCAAATAAAAACATTGAAACATTTGTGAACAATTTGAAATGATAAAATAGTTAAATACAAGCAGAAACATACAATACCACAATCAGGGAGGAGGGCCAGGGATGGTTAATGGGGATATGCCAAATGAAAAAAAAAAAGTTGGATTAGCTAAGTGGATTGACTATGGAAGCCCACAACAGAACCCTGTTACTGATAGCCCAGGGAAAAGACAAAATTTATAATACAGAGGAAATTATCTTTGTCACAGCTGCCGGGACTGATTTCAAATCCAATTCAAGATGGATTTTGGAATGGGGAGGGAGAAGCAGAATTTTACTCAGTTCTTCCCACGGCCACAGCAATCATGAGCCAGTTATTCCCCAGGTGATTAAAGCAGCTAGCAAGACTCAGCATTTGGCATCAGCAGTATCAGAGGGTGTCACTTTCCTCCTTGGCTGATAGCAACACCCTGTCCGGACTGAACTGTAAGGCTGTGATTTCAGAAAAGCTTTGCTGGCTGACAAATGAGACATTCAGGTTCAAATGACCAATGCCAGCCTTTGCTACTCACTTGTCCAGTCAGTGATGTTTCCTGCGGATGCTCTATAGGGGCCTGACAAGGAGATAATCTCAAACCAGTATCTGGTTCCTGGTGTCAGTCCTAAGAAGGTGTAATTGGTGGCATCTCTCCCCACAAAGTTTTGTGCTGCCGTGGTGCGGCATCCTGAGCAATACAAGTTTAGTTCATAGCCATGTAGTCTGCTGGATGCTGGTGTCCAAACCACTTGCAGCCTGTCCGGGTGCCTCTCGTTCCACATTTGCACAGAGGTAGCTGGCAGAGGAGCTGTGAAACAGGAAGAGCTTACATGAGAAGGGAAGGGGGCCGAAGGAACTGGATGTTTATGGTAGCTGCAATACACCTGCACGTGGTGTTTTGACAACTTTGTTCTTTCAATCCAGCAAAGGAACTGGATGTTTATGGTAGTTTTGACAACTTTGTTCTTTCAATCCAGCCCAGTGTTTTAGAGTATCCTAGTCCACTCCAGGGCTTGGTGTGGGCATAGGTATGCCAGCCTCCAGTTGGGACTTGGGGATCCCCCAGAATTAGAGCTCATCTCTAGACTGCAGAGATCAGTTTCCCTGGAGAAAAAGGATGCTTTTGAGAGTGGACTCTATAGCATTGTACCCCACTGAGGTCCCGGACCTCCCTAGACTATATTCCCAAATTTCCAGGATCTGGCACCTGGATCCCAACCTGGATCTGGCAATCCTATTCCTCCCTAGTCGCCGGGGGTACCTGGCAACCCTATGTGGGCAGGAACAGGGAGAAAGGAAGTTGTACTCACTGTGGCTCCAGTCCAGACAGAGAAAGAACTGGACCTATTAAACTCTGTTCCTGTTTGAAGCCATGCTGTCTCCTTATTTCAATCCCTAGCATTAGAAACACAACACTCCACAGGACCAATGGAGCGTGGCTGTGACAGCAGCCATAGCAGGAGCAGGACTCCTCCCAAGGGGTGGCTCAGGTGAGAAATTTTGCTAGCTTACACTGTCCCCCCAGCACTTAGGTGAGGCCACTTTAAGAACTGTGGCCTAGCAGAGCAGTAGGGCTGCTTACCTCCAGATAACAGAGATCAGTTACCCTGGCTGCTTCGGAGGGTGGACTCTTATGGCACTGCACCCCATGGAGGCCCCTCTGCCCTCCCCAGGCTCCACCCCCAAATTTCCAGGAGTTTCCTAACCTAGATTTGGCATCCCTACTAGGTGGGATAGTTAAGAGGACCTCTCCCTCTGATCTTAATTCCTGTGCAGGAAAATAGGGGAGAAGATGGTCATTCAGATACCCCAGTCCCAAGTTATGTAGGGCTTTAAAGGACAAAGCCAACATCTTGGGCTGCAAAGCAGATTGGTAGCCAGTGTAGTTGCTGTCATTTTGGAGTCACTCGTTCATGATAGGTGGCCCCTGACCAACAGTCTAGCTGCAGCCTCTGAATGCACTTCAAGGGTAGCCCCACATAGAGTGCCTTGCAATAGTCCAGTCTAGACCTAACTAAGGCATGGATCACTGTGGCTAGACCAAAGTGACCATAAAGAAACAGGAGACATGACAATAAAAGACCATCTGAAAGCTTCAGTGAGGACCATTACCAGATTGTTCCCCCAGTTTTCTGGCAGTTCCACAAAAATCAACAATCCCAAGAGTGGTTTTGGCTCATTCAAGAACCAAATAGTTATTATTGTTGTAAACTCTTTATAAAGCTTTATAAGCTACCTTGCTTGTCATTGTTGGTAGAAAGGTGGGGTATAATTGCTTGAAATAACTAAATAATAGCTTGCAGGCAGGCCTAAAGCATCCATGTGATCATTGACTTCCCAAATTGAGGGGGCAAAAGGACTGGTCTACCCTATCTGGGCTTCACACGGCTTTTTGTTCCCTTTCATAAAATGAAAGCTGAATCAGCCTCAAGGCTGAAACACTCTGAAGGCCAAGAAGGACATAGTGCAGTCTACTTTCCTATGTAACACTGGTCAGAGGGCCTTCTTACAGTTCCTTCACTTACTCTGAAACGAATGGCCTACAACTGAGCACATAATGGGAGGATGTCTATGTCTGCACATAGGCAAGAGTGGGTGCAATGCTCCCTCTAAGCTGTGGAGTCTTGTGAGCAAAATTTTCTACTTTGTGAGCTACTGGCCATTAAAGTTGTGAGCAAGCAATTTGGCAACTGCACAAATTAGTTTGCTCGGGAGCCCTCCTTCCTGAGCTAAGACAAAAATATGTGAGCCAGAGGCTAAAGAACTGTGAGTTAGCTCACACTAACTCAGCTTAGAGGGAACACTGAGTGGGTGTGTTAGTTAGACACTGACATCAGCATGCACCCCTGCCTGTTTCTGGGAGAATACATGGGTAGGACTTTAGACTACAGGCACACTTTATATGCCTGCACATATATTTATGTATGTAGACATGCACACATGCAGAGGAAGTATGATCAAGCCCTTCCATTTCCATCTCTTTTCCTCTGATGATGTGAGATATTCCAGTTACAGTAAAGACCAGTCATATCTCAATAGCACATGGAGCTATATCGTTTTGTTCGCCCTGTGGAATGCAGTAAGGAGAGGGACATGCAAGGGGCTAGCCGATGGATGGCCAGATGGAGGGAGCCTGGGTAGGCTGCCAGGGCAGGGAAGGAAAAGAATAGGGAAGACGTTACAGGCAAACAGACCAGGTGCCTAAAGTAACAGGTAAATCCCTAGGCTCAGATAGGACAAGTCAAACCAATTAGACTCACATGTCCACTCAGTGATGGTGGAAGAGAAGGCCTCAGTTTGCCCTTTCACTGTGACAATCTGTACAGCAAATTGGCTGCCTGCTGGCAAACCTGTCCAGTTGAAATCCTGGGTACCTGGACCCACAACGTGAACTCTTTCCGTTCCTGGAGGCATCAGGTAATATAGTATAAGCCGGTAGAAGTCCTTGTGCCCAGAGGCCTCTGTCCAGGCCATGTACAGCACAGAAGAGCTGCCAGCATTCCTCAGCATCAGGTTCACAGGTGCTGCAGGAGCTGCAGGAAAAAGAGAGCTGGGTTCAGCACAGTGATGCTCACACAGCAGGTTCATTTCCAGAAAAGCCTGACCAGCCATTAGCATCAGTACTAATCCAACATAGCTCCATGAGACGACACAACTTCTCCCATGGCTTGGATGTTCCTCACAGACAAATCTTCTGCCCTCCAAGATGCAATGTCCAAATCCAGGTTTGCAGTTACCTGTGCAGCCTGTGCTGTTCCGGGAAGCTGAGCTGTATGGTCCAGCCAGCGACCACACTGCAATGACGTAGCATGTTCCTGGTGTTAACCCCAGAAGGGTGATATTAGTGCTGGTTTTCTCCACAGGAATGTGGTTTCTGGTAGCTTCAGGGCCTTCTTCAGAGACAGAGACCATATAGCTGTCCCGTTGCCCAGCAGGGGCCTTCCATTGCACAGACAATGTTGAGGAGCTACGGCTGGTCACCAGCAGGGAGAGAGGCATCAAGGGGACTAGAATGAGAAAAAGGGCTTCAGGGAAGGGAGGGAACATGGCTCAGTGGAAGAGCAACTGCTTTGCATGCAGAAGGTCCTAGGCTCAATCCTCAGCAGGCAACAGACCTCTGCTGAGACCCTGAAGAGCCACTAGGCTGGCTCAGGGTTAGGCAGCAACCGAGGGGGAAAAAAGGGGGTGGGACTCAAAGTTTTACATATACAATTGATGGTATATCTTATGACCAGTAGACCATACACATTTCGGCTCCTTAGGGCCTTCCTCAGTGGTCAATATTACTATTGTAAAACAACACACATCCAGAAATCATGAGGGACATGACGTGTGCTACTCCACCAAGGGAAATGTGCAGTGTACTCTCAGGCCAGACCAGGCAGAACAAGAGAGGAAGGACACAAGGGGTCTGGATTATACCTGTGTAGCCAATGGCTGTTTGTGAGGAAACATAGTGAGGCCCAGCCCTGGAGACAATCTCAACACGGTACCCACCGAAGTGGTACCTATTTATTTACTTGCAATTTCTTGCTTTCGAACTGCTAGGTTGGCAGGAGCTGGAACTAGAGATGGGAGCTCACTCCATCATGCGGCCGCCGGATCTTGAACTGCTGAACTACTGACCTTCCACAGCCTGCAGTTCAGCGTCTTAACCACTTGATGTTAACCTTGGTGTTATGTCATGCCAGCCACATGACCACGGAAATGTCTTCGGACAGCGCTGGCTCTTTGGCTTTGAAACGGAGATGAGCACCGCAACCCTAGAGTCAGATTCGACTGGCTTTCGAGCAAGGGAACCTTTACCTTTATTGTGGTGTACACATTAGCAAAAGATAAAATAGGTTAAAAGAAATTATCCAAATATCACACAGAGCTGAAAGTTTTACATATACAATTGATGGTATATCTTATGACCAGTAGACTATACGCATTTCGGCCCCTTAGGGCCTTCCTCAGTGGTCAATATTACTATTGTCAAACAACACACATCCAGAAATCAATATATGAAAAAAGGTTTTCTTTAGAGCCAGGTGTTGCTTTCTCATGTGATGTGCAATTGCTAAAGGTTTACATAGTAGACCATGGATAATCTCTCATGGTAACTGCACATGCTCTCCAAATTGTTCTGGTAACAAATATCCAATGTGTCTGGATGTGTGTCTCTTGCTACAGCTCAGGGACAATAATTTCATTGGTTTTTACATTTTATGTGACATACTATTGCCCCAAAGGCAGGATTAGGCAGTAGAGATGAGGAGGTGAAATTCACAAAAGTTTAAGCATGTTGTTCAAAGCAGATACCGGACCGTTTAAAGAAATAACTGCTTGTCTGATGCATTTGACCATAATTTGATCAGTACAAGTGTACAAAATGAGGAAGACAGATAGTACATCGGATGGCCATTAAGCTTCTACTGCTGTTAAGTCCTACTGCTGCTAGTGTAAGGGACATGAGGGACATGACGTGTGCTACTCCACCTCTGCTGAGACCCTGAAGAGCCACTAGGCTGGCTCAGGGTTAGGCAGCAACCGAGGGGGAAAAAAGGGGGTGGGACTCAAAGTTTTACATATACAATTGATGGTATATCTTATGACCAGTAGACCATACACATTTCGGCTCCTTAGGGCCTTCCTCAGTGGTCAATATTACTATTGTAAAACAACACACATCCAGAAATCATGAGGGACATGACGTGTGCTACTCCACCAAGGGAAATGTGCAGTGTACTCTCAGGCCAGACCAGGCAGAACAAGAGAGGAAGGACACAAGGGGTCTGGATTATACCTGTGTAGCCAATGGCTGTTTGTGAGGAAACATAGTGAGGTCCAGCCCTGGAGACAATCTCAACACGGTATCGTGCCCCTTCCACTAGGCCATCTATGGGCACCTCGGCAGTTCCATGTGGCACTGACAGGTTCCGGATAACAGACAGGGATTCATCTGAGTAGAGCTGTATCCAGTATTCTCGTCCTTGACCTGATTCCATCCAACTCACAATCAATTGCTGGGGGGTCTGGCCACATCTCACACTCACGTTGGCCAGAGATTGGGGATCTGCAGGGGTTACATAGACAGGGAGCTCATTATGAAGGAGCAAGAAAGGTAGACGTGCTAACTGAAACTCACAACGGCTTTTAGAGGGACCACTGCTGTTAGCTTTCTTTAGCACCGGAAATAGATCGCAGGCGTGCATTCAATGTCTTGCAAGAATGGCTACACCACCACTAGAAACTGCTGCCTGCTTGTTAAAACTCTTAAATATACATGTTCCTTATTAGAAGATAACCAGAAGGAAAAGCACTGTAAAATCTTGATCAAATAGTTAAGCCTTAGATGTTTTCTCAGTACTCATTTCCAGATTCCTAACATAAGGCAGCAAAACATTTGGTAAAACAGCCATATTTTAACTGCCCTCCAAAGAGTATGTCATGCATCGGGATAATAGGCATCAATGCAGCAATATGCAATGCCTTCAAGAGGACACTAGAGGGAGAGTACAACAAATAGAATAATGATGAGGCAGAGAAATCTACTTTGAAGGAATCAGCCTTCTCTTGATTTTAATTTAAATTTATATTCCACTCTGAGATCATGCAGGCCCTCCCCCCTCCAGGCAGCTCATAAAAATGGCAAAACAGTACTTAGAAACACCACAATAAATAATTGCAGCTTACCAGAATAATCACAAGAACATAGAGAATATTAGTGTTCCGCTTTGCTGTTGGTCAATCCCATCGACCGCTTGGGAACTTGAATCCTAATTCAGTGCAAAACAGTACTTAGAAACACCACAATAAATAATTGCAGCTTACCAGAATAATCACAATAAAGAACATAGAGAATATTTGTGTTCTGCTTTGCTGTTGGTCAATCCCATCGACTGCTTGGGAACTTGAATCCTAATTCAGTGCAACAGTGCCAAATTCAATGGCCTTAGGAAACCGGGAGGCTCACTTATGTAAAAGAATATCTTTGCCAGGCAGGAAATGATGGATTCCTCTTAAAACAGAGTGAGGATGGCAGAT